AGGAAATTGTTATGAGACCTTACATAATGGACTATTCCATACGTAATAAATACTGCGCCTCAAGAGGAAGTAGAGAGTTCAGCCAGAAGTCGGACGACCGGCTGATCGGTTGAACTCTCTGACGTCGGGCAGGGAGGAACTCGAACCAGGCTACGCCGAATGGCAGAGTCTCTTTCGGGGAGGTAAACCGACCCTGAACCCGTTTATACGGGTTCAAAGTGCATATTTTTGGCCGAGCCCACGGGCTCAGAGAACCCACGTTAAACCGGCCTTGTGCTACATGATGCCCTCGTGGGGGGTGACTAAATACCGTTCAGTCTGAAGTCTGGAGTGAGGTCCGTCAGGAGTCTGTCAGTCAGTCAGAGCGAGTCAGTCAGTCGAGTCAGAGGCAGTCCGAAACAGAGTCGCGTTCAGACAATTACTACTAAACCTGATTGTTCGTACTAACACTTTCTACTTCTCTGTATATATTCCTGTTTGTAATATATCTGTGTTATTCCATATCCGTATTCGAGTTCTTTATTGGTTCTACCTTGGACTATCACCGTCGTACAAGGAACCGGACCATAACAGAAATCAAAGCACGTCCGTCCCTCTTTTTTGTTATTGTAGTTAGAATGTGCTGCCTGAATGACGCTAAGTTTCAATTAAATACTATCATTATTATTATCATCAGCATCATTATTGTCGTGTAATTGGCTATAGTGAGATGTAATTGACAGAATTGACAAACAATAACAAGAGAAAGAATAGAACAGAACAGCTCTTGATTGAGCCTTCATCACAATAGCTAGGGAGGAGTATATGCGACAGGCAATAATAAACTACAGAAGCTAGAAACGGAAAGCCCCACCCCTCACCCGCCTAACCTGCCGACGGCATCTTGGTCACTAACATTGATAACATCTCAGATCAGCTTCTATTGCAAAGAAAAACACCAACTGTTTATACAACATTCTCCAGTGAACTTTCTCTTTAAGTGCATTATTAATCACGAAGCAGAAGTCAAAGTGCGTCGGATTTACTTAAGTTTCTCCGAAAATGTATCAAAGAACATATATAGATAGATAGATAGATAGATAGATAGATAGATAGATAGAGTGAACATTGAAGTCAAGAAAACCACGACGATTGTGTCTAGCATGAAAGAGCCTGTCGCCTCTAAGTGTTGACTTCAATGTTCACTTTTATATTTATACACGCTCTATCTCTGATATTGAGCACTTTATCCCATAAATATAGCACACCTTAAAACCTGAAGAGTATATTTCTTTATATATATATATATATGTGTGTGTGTGTGTGTGTGTGTGTGTGTGTGTGTGTGTGATTCGCCAGCAGTACTGTTTCACAGCTCTTCAGTGCGAGTAGACAACCGAATGCCTCAAGCCAGGATTGAAAACCAACCGATTTCGTGTCAGTCAGATTTTCTACCACTGAGCTATCTTCATTCGGCAGAATGAAACAGCTAAATCTATCAATTTGTTTTTATAAATGTAAACAAATGTCAATCAGCCGTAGTGCTCCATCCATTTTACTGAAGAGTTTCGCATTAACGCAGGTGGCTGTTGTTTGTAAAATTAGCTTGTCATTCAACAGTGCTGAATTGAAATATATTTTCAAGAGCTAGCGGCATTTAAGCTAGCGGCATTTAAGCTAGCTCCTGCTGAGGTCTCTTGATTGGGACTTCATCACAATAGGTAGAGAGGAGTAAATGCGATAGGCAACAATAAACTCAAAATTGATCGCTGTATTTAAGTATTTTAAAATTCAACGATAATTCTTCTGCTTTCACTTAATTTAAAGAAAATTTGATGTACGTAGGTCCTTACTTTCCGTACAAACAATTATTTTTATTTCATGGGTGGATTTCACAATTAATTTCGATTATTTCCAAATTTCCTTCTGTTGAGGGGTTCTACTCTTTTTACACAAATGGACTCACCCAGTATATACATATACTACGGCTACGTGAAGACCCGAGAGAGCAAGACCGAGGAGTCGAGTCGAGGCCAGAGTGACAGAGTAAAAGGTTGTAGGTAACCGGAAGAGTGGGGGTGAGGTAACAGCGTTGTAGGAGTCACAGTGAGCGAGCACGTAGACTCAGTAAGAAGTCATACAGCGATACTGCAATACCAAAGACTGTATATATGTTTTGCTACTAACCCGTATTCCAGGAACTACTAACCTGCTTTACCAGTTTGTATTATTACGTTAATACATTATTTTCCTATATTCATTCCTGGCGTTTGTTATTTATTGGTACCGGATTTCAACCCGGAATCCACAACACCTTCCAAGTTATAAAATCTTTTATCATACAAAAAATTTGTTGCAAAAAATCACGTAAAAAAATCGAAAACAATCGCAGTAATGAAAATTTGGGAAACCAAAATTTCAGGATTGCAGGTCCGGATCCAACCCGGAATATTTTTAATTTACTCACGGAGTCGGTCTGATTCCAAAATGGTATGAAACGTTGGGCTACGGCTTATAGGAGTAAAGTTGAAAATACGAACAATTTTATTTTAAAACACTGTAATTTGAGAAGAGTGATTTTTTTTTTCATTTGAACATGAGCTACTGAAAGTTAGAGAGTTGTGTCCTTTTAATTGTTTTTATCAGTAGGAACCAAGATGGCAAAATCCATAAACAATCGCAGTAATGAAAACTTTGTTACAATTTTTGGATACATTATGTACTAGTGAGTTAGCCCAAATGACTTGACTCACTTTATAGTCCACCAATAGAAGGTTAACCAATCAGAAGACGTATAATATTCAATCCGTCGTGTATAAAGGCGGCCATTTTGTTTACTCTATCCGAATGTCCAGTGCCAGCTTGTCAGGCGAAGAAGAACAGAAGAAAGAACTACGCTCTGCTACTTTACCGGGATATCCACTGCTAACCTGAACAACGCTTTCCTACTGTCTTCGAAATATTCACTGCTAACCTCTGGATTCTATACTCAAAGACGACCGTCATCATAACAACAAACTTGAGAATCCAAATTTTCAGGATTGCAGGTTCAGATACGGCGTGGAATGTCTTTAATTTATTCAGGGAGTCGGCCTGATTCAAAAATGTTATATGTTGGGCTACGGCCTCTAGGTGCAAAGTTGAAAAAGTGTGACACGGTGATACACTGACATTCGTATTTATATAGATTGAATTCTTATTTACAGAATCAATATAAAATTTTTAAAAAATGATGCAACTTTTATTACATTCATGATATTTTACTGGTATAAACGAATAATACTAGGAATGTTCAAATATTTTCTCGGATTGTTGATATATATAATTATATGGCGCAAATATGGTACCAGTCCCTGGGAAGACTTGTTGCGTCAATGATGCCTGGCCTTAGAAGGAATAACACACCATGTTTTGATATTTAATACAGATAGTCTCAAAAATGACCCCGAAGTAAAATATATCTCAATCCCCTCGAAACTTCCAACTGAATTGAAAGATTTCTCTCGCCGGTGCCTCGCACATTGAAAAAAGAAATACTTCCGGTCCACTATATTGTTTGAGAATTTGGGGCCTAGAAAGTTAAAGTGTTAGTGAATTTGGTGGGGGGGGATAATTGTGAGTTTAATACCTGGGTTGAGAAAACTCAGTGGAAAAAAGAATTAACAGTAACTTCTTTTTCTATATGCCCTGTTCCTTCAGAACGTAGTTCTGGGTATGACGATAAACTACATCCAGCATCAAGGCATCTGATCGGGATATTGGGGGTTATGAGGAGCGTGGGACCACCTCTTAATTGCTGTTGTTCCCAGATCCACCCTAACCCGGATTAGGGTCCCAGTTATGGGCAAATAATGAATCCAAAATAAAAACCAAAGCATAAAAATATATATTCCTATATTCAGTTAAAGCTATAAAATTGTGATCAAAATATTTGGACTTCGGCATTAAATAACCCATAGAGGTTCATACGTCGCTAAACAAAATCAAGCAACCATCCATATATATATATATATATATATATATACCAGCAATACATTTTTTAAAGTATAGAAGTATTTTCGCAAGACTTTAAATAACCTTAATAAAACCTTAAAATTAATTATGAATACTCCAGAAATGTTTTAAAATGTGTGCAACAGATAGTTTGAAATGCTAAGGTTTTGCATTAATAGTTTCTCTTTTTACTACTCATTTCATAAAAAAAACACCATACTTAGTTACCTCCCCTTAAACGGTTTCACAATCACGCACTGACGCAGCGTTACTCACTTCACTTGTACGAAATTTAACTTTCAGATGAACACAAAAATTTTGTCTTTGACAATAATGACCACTACAATATTTGTCTTGCAATAAACAATACCCGGATGATGACATTGTGCTATGTGGAAAGTACTCAAAAAATAAACGAAATATGTGTCAAGACGGTGATTTTCTCTTATCCTTCAATAACGACACCAAAAAGCTTATCCGTGAATATGAAAGCATCCTATCGAAAATAAGTAGACAGAACATGCCTAAATTATTCAACGAAACATGTGTCATATATATATATATATATATATATATATATATATATATATACCAGCAATACATTTTTATATAAAAAATAGTCAACAATACATATTTATAGTAAAATGACAAACGATGCATTTTTAAATTAAAATGACTAGTAATTAGCATATGGCTGATTGTTTTTCAGTACTTGAATAGCAGTAGATTAATTTAATTCCTCTTGTAGTTGGTATACTTGTAACTATTGTTATTCATCTACGCTTGCTCAAAGTTTCAGGCGATCAAATAGTGGATGTAATCACGGTAAGGCGCTGGTTGATGCATTTACGAACGCAACATGTAAGTTCTTGTTCTCCGTTGCCGGAGATGCATAGCCACAGACGGTGTCAGTGTGGAAATACCGGGTTTTGGAGCCGAAAACCTGCTCTATCCAACGGTGTCATTGCACGCACTGTAGCTGTTTCCATGGAAATAAATAAGAGACATTACTTTCGGAGTGTCTTAGCATGTTTATATCAATTATTCATTTACATATCTATCTCAGTCTGTTCATTTCCCCTCTCCCTCTATCGATCTACAGCTTCGAGCAAATAAAGCCTGTAGACTTTAGTGGCAATCATACTCCTTCGAACCTAATGCACTGGCGCTACAGAATCGTAAACATAGAACTGTAGCAAATAACAGAAACCACGTCACTTAGGGGATTACCAAGAGCGGAAACAACTAAAATAGATAGCACATGTAATTTGTAAACAAAATAATGACATAATCAAGATATTGACTTTACAACTTTACACACTATTTCGAAAAAAATGGTTATGACTATATTCAGTCACCCCCCCCCCACGAGGGCGTCATATGGCACAAGGCCTTTTTAACGTGGGCATTTCCGAGCCATTAGGCTCGGCCAAAAAATAGTCCATTTGAACCCGTATAAACGGGTTCAGGGCCGATTTACCTCCCGAAGGAGACTCCGCCCTTCGGCGTAGCCTCCCTTCGGGTTCCTCTCCGTCCGTAGACAGAGAGTTGAACCGAACCGTCGGTCAGAAAGTGATGGTTATGACGGATCCCCCCCCCAATTACTAATGAAAAGAATGATAATAGTTTGATAATAGCTAAAGAAATGTATTTCAATAGTTTCAATAATATCTCTGTATGGATGAGTTATAAAAAATAATATAGGAAGTAAGGAAACTGAACGTAGAATAGTCTGTGCTTGGGGTAGTTTTGCCCAATGCCGCAAGTTGCTACTAAACCAAAAGATTAACTTAAGAAATGGAGTCATCTACTTAAACAGCCACGTCAGACTTAAAATTTCATATCGATGTAATTCATGGCGCCCAAATGATTCAGAAATGCCTAGACTGTCAGCTCTATGTCATTGCTTTCTCAGATGAACGATTAGAAATGGGGTTGAACGATTGAGGCTTATAGGTCTTAGCAAGTACAGTTCTTCTTCGAGTTCGTGAACTGGCGCTATAGAATCCCAAACAAAGAACTCTACCAAATAACAGAAATAGGACTACCAACAGCAACAACAACTGGTGGAAGTCCTCATCTATTGTTCCTGTCTGTAAGAACTCTGGAGGCCCTTCTGATCCTTCTAATTACCGTCCTATCAGTCTCCTACACCTCTTCGGCAAAGTCTTCGAAGCCTTAATCGACGCCGAAGTGGTTAAGCACCTTACATCCCATAATCTGCTTTCCGACAAGCAATATGGTTTCCGCTTTGCGCGTTCTACAGCTGATGTGCTTACGGCCATAACTGAAATTGTTGACCAAGCTCTTCATAATAACGGAGAAGCTCGTGCTGTGGCTCTAGATATCTCCAAAGTGTTTGATAGGGTTTGGCATGCCGGCCTTCTTCGCAAGCTTCAGGGTTATAGAATTTCAGGTCGATTGTTTGACTTAATACAATCATTCCTGTCAAACCGTGTATTGAAGGTCGTTCTCAACGGATTCTCCTCCAACTCCTATCCCACGAACGCAGGTGTTCCCCAAGGATCCATCTTAGGCCCTACTCTGTTCCTTATCTTCATTAACGATCTTCCTGATGTCATAGATTTGTAAGTAGGCATCTACGCGGACGACACTACTATTTACTCCTGCTTCAAAAACAAATCTAGTGTCGCTGACAAAACTAACTTGGCTGTTTGTCTCGGTTGTGGACTGGGGCAGGAATTGGCTGGTTAAATTTAATGCCTCAAAAACAAAACTTCTTTGTATTACTCACCACAGAGAACCACCCCTGCCTCCCATTAGAATGTCTGACGCTCAACTCCACGAGAGTACCTCTTTGCGCCTGCTCTGTCTCACATTGACTGCTGACCTGAGATGGAACAAATACATTGAGTCAATAGCTTTGTCCACCGCAAGGAAATTTGGCTCCCTGTGCCACACCAGGAAATTTTTCTCGTCGGAGACAATCCTTCAAATCTACAAATCAACCATTCGTCCTTGCATGGAGTATTGCTGCCATATATGGTCTGGTGCCCCTTCTGTTTGTCTCAATGTCCGTGATAAAATCCAGAGAAGGATATGCAATGTAACTGGCCCTGATCTGGCATCTCGTCTGCAGTCGCTCTCTGACAGACATGCCGTCGCCTCCCTCTGTCTTTTTTACAAATACTTTCACGGTAACTGCTCCGATGAACTGATTTCGCTGGTTCCCAGACTTCATGAATTTAAGCGTTCTACTAGGCTGGCATCTCGCTCTCACCCTTTCACTGTCGGAATTGTTAAATGTAGCCGTCTCTTCTACTCTAATAGCTTCATATCTCGCACTTCTCGCCTGTGGAACTCCCTTCCCTTTTTCTGTTTCCCTGATAGCTATAATCTCCAACTATTCAAATGTGATGTCAATCGACGTCTCCAGATGCCTTGATCTATCCCCTACCCTTCTATTCATCCTTTCCTCTATCACTCCTATTTGCTCTCGCTGCAACTCTCTGTAACCACTTGAGTGCTAGTGGCTTCCCGCCTTGCTTGGGGTGAAACGCTTAAAAAAAAAAATTAAAATGGATAGCCCACGTAGCTCGACTAAGAAATAATGACATAATCAAAATATTGAATTTGAACACTACTTCAAATAGAAGATTAGGTTTGGTTGGGTTTATTCTGTTTTACGTTATATCAACTTCAATGGGTTTTTTAATGCCGACAAGATTTTTATAATAGATTCGTATGAATAAAATATGTATTCTTTGTAAGTGTTATAGTAGAACACACCTATTCTATAGTTAATAGACTCTCCCACATATAATAAGTAGTAGTAGTAAGAGTAACGTGGGAGTCGCTCAGTGGTTCGGTCAGTCAGTCGATGCCGGACGACCGTTAGTCGGATACTAAAGTATCAGCGACCACAACTAGATTTCTCTGCGTTATACCTATTTATATCAAGTTCCAAACGTTTTGTACGTCGAACCTATTTTAGGACCGACTTAGTATAAATACAAGCCTCCACTGTGAAACCACTCCATAACACACTTGGCGACGAGGTATTCGAATTCATACTGTGGAAGAAAAAAAAATTTCGCTCGCCATAACAGTAAGAAATCAGCTTGTAGATCAGATTTTATTGACATATTTTTGAAAAGAGGTTTTTGTCGAAAGTCAAATGTATTGCTGGTAATTTTTTTCTTTTTCAAAAATGTATTGCCTGTATTTTTACTATAAAAATTTATTTTTATACATTCATCGTGTTTTGACCTCAGTTTTGGGGTTAACTATTTGTCCACAGTTGGGACCCTAATTGGTGCTACCACCCCGGGTCAGGGTAAGCCTGGGAGCAACATCTATTGAGAGGTGGTTCCACACTCGTCAAAACATTCGGATCAAAGGCCTTGCTGCCGGATGTAGTTTATTGTCATACCCAGGATGCCAAATGCTTTGGAAGCAATCCCCTATCAATACTGGAAAGAGCGATAACAGCTACTGAAGCTGAAAAATTGTTTAAACAGTAAGATTTTATAAATTTCAGTCGACAATTTCAGTGATTGCGGAATATTTCCTTATAAGGAAACAGCTAATATTATCATTATCACGAGATATGTGGGAAACTACACTTTGATCTGAGCTCGATGGCCAGGGAGTGTAGAAAAGCGTTACTCGAGTAGCACTGGCTGCTCGGTCAATTAATGACTAAGAAGACAGCTAATATCACCATTGCCATTACAGATGAGGAAAACAGATACTACACTTTGATCCTAACCTTATGGCTAGGGCGTGAAGAAAAGCGAATCTCCGGTAGCACTGGCTGCTCCGTTAATGTATACCTTATAAGGAAATGACTAATATTATAATTACCAGCTATCTATATGCGTTTTCTTATTACAGTTTTATCAGGTCTGTCTCTTCTTTGATCGATCATTCTGTCTCCTATTCACTGACTTTCTTTTGTCTTGATTCAAGTTGTTTATTATCAATCAATCTAATTACCTTTATATCTATTTTAATTTCTTCATTATCTTCTTATTATTATCATTTTTTTTATCTCAACTTATATCTATTCATTTCTATAGGCTTGCACATACCCCAGTGATTTTTCTGCTTATCAATAATATCTATCTACAGGGGTTCCTGAAATATTTTGGGCTCGGTTCACTGCTCAAAGCCTGATTGGATGAGTAAACATGACTAAACTAAATTTTGGGATCGTGTAAGTCGGAAAGAGAAAAAAGAATCTGCAACATTATCAGCCCTGACCTAGCATTTCAGCTTCAGTAACTTTCTGATAAAATGAAAGTTATCCTGAATGGCCACTCTTCTAGATCAGTTTGTACTAATGCAGGTGTCCCGCAACACTCTATCCTCGGTCTTTATTTGTTTTTAATTTTCATTAACGACCGTCCCAGTGGAATCAGCTGCCAACTTAGTACCTATTCCGCTGAAACAACCATTTACTTCTAACTCGTAGTACGCCGCTTTAGTTTCATTTCTTTCACCATACAGTCAGTTTTAGACCCACTGGAGTGACAGGGTGTAATCAATTTCTATATTTTCCTCAGATTAGGTTATTGGCAGTGGTGTGAAGTAATATGAATCTATTTTCGGGGTGTATGATGAAATTTGTTTGGCCTTGAAAAATATTGCGTCATCCGTGATTGCATAAGATTTTAATCACGCCTAGACAATATTGTCTCCACTGTCGATTAGTTGTCCTGCGTCTATTGTCTGCGGTGGACGTTACTCCAAGGAAGCTTACGAAAATTGTAACGCTGCATGAACACAATGGCAAGCCTTAGCAGTGAGAAAATCAAAGTACTATAAACTGGCCTGGAAACTCTCCTAATTTAAATCCAATCGAGAATCTGTAGTCACGTTGCAAGGAACGATTTCGTGGAATGGACATGCGAAGTAATAACATGTGAACTGGGTCAACTTTCATTGGAAAAATACGAAAAAAAGTAAATAAAAACGGAATTATTCGTTTTGTTTGAATTTATTTGCACAAGGATTGACCCGAACAAATTAAACCCACGTGTAGCTGTAGAATAAAGAATGAATGCCCCTTAAACGGTAATTGCTTACAAAACAACGTAATATACGAAGCCACGGTAAAATCACCAGAGAATGAAGAAAAAGTATACATAGGAGTAACTGAAGGACCCTGGAACCAAAGAAACTATGCACACAAACCATCTTTCACCAATAGTAAATACGCGAACAGAACAATGCTTTCCAAGTACATCTGGGAAATTAAAAACAAAACACAAATCACACCAAAAATATCATGGAAAATAAGGAAAAGATCATCAGCCTGCAACAATCAATCAAAAACCTGCAAACTTTGCTTGGAGGAAAAAATAGCTATTATTACCTTCCCAGACCAAAATAAATTACTAAATAAACGATCTGAGCTCATCTCAAAATGCAGACATGAAAAGAATTTTTTACTACGTTACTTAAAAATCGAAAACTGAAATGAATAAAGAAAATTTATAAAAAACAAGTAAAATAAATTAACCCAAACAATTAATAAACAAACTAACAAACCACTCCCATTTTATTAGGTTGGTGCAAAAATAATGTCGTTTTTGACGTTCAAAAAATTTTAAAAAAACAAGTAAAAATAATCAACCCAAATAAATAAATAAAGGAAATAATAACAAAAATATTAACAAACCAATCCCGCCAAAATAGCCGTTTGAATAGACTACAATAACCCATCCAAAAATTGGACATAAAAATAGCTATAACTGCTATATAAAGATAAAAAAACATTACTACGTTGCTCAAAAATCGAAAACCAAATAGAGTAAATAAAAATATATAAAATAAAAAACAAATAAAAATTAATCCAAATAAATGAATAAGTTAACAAATCGCTCCCGCTAAAATAACCGTTATAACTAATAAAAACCAGCATAAATAAACAAGTAAAAATAATTCAAATATATAAATTAAAAACTGTCCCCCGCCAAAATAACACAATAGACTAGGGCAAGCAATCTAAACATTGGACGAATAAATAGCTTTAATTATCTTCTCAGACCAAAAGAAACTATTAAATAAGCGACCTAAGCATATCACCCAATTTTTTTTACTACGTTAATAAAACATCAAAAACCGAAAAGAATAAATAATACAAAATGTAAAACAAGTAAAATAAATAACCCATACAAATAAATAAACAAACACTCCCGCAAAAAGCAACCGCCAGAATAGATTACCCACAATACACCATTGACCCATATATATAAATAGTCGAGGAAAAATTCAACATTCGCGGCCTGACGATTACGTCGACTCTGAGTGTTGACTTCAATGTTTACTTTTATATTTACACACGCTCTATCTCTGATATTGAGCACTTTATCCCATAAATATAGCACACCTTAAAACTATATTTCTTCATATATATATATATATATATATATATATATATATATATATATATATACACATTACTTATTATTATAAAATGCAGGTTGTGTGTGTGTCTGTAACGTTTATATGTTAGATCGAATTTCCTACATTTTTTAGCCGATTTCAACAAAAACTTCACAGGACTACATAAAATTACCTTGTGGTGGTTCTAACGGGGCCGAAAATGGGAAAAAATACAGTTGTTTTTTAATAAAATCAATTTGAAAACACGATTAAGACACATCGTGAGAATGAAAGGGGAGAACTCACCCACGAAAATGTAAACAAAAGAGCATAGCATGATGAAAAAGACGCTGAACTTGACGAAAACAAAATTTTATCGTCTAATGTTCATATTATTATTAAAGAGGAAAGATCAAAGTATTTTGGGGGTATTTTTTACATTTTTAATCGTTCCTAGCACGTCTGAAATTTTCGTTAAAAATATTGTTTTTTTTTTGGTCAAAAAAAGGGCAGATAATCATTTTCAATCATTTTTTCGATTTGATAAAAAGATTAAAATCTTACTTTGATATTCTTTTAAAAGTCAATTATCATTTTTTCAAAACTGATTTTAATAAAAACAGATATTATACTGTTTATTTAAAATATTTTGAACTGGTTTTTAACTTAGCTTCTGCGCCGAAAAATGTAATTTGAAAATAAAACAAAGCAGGTCATAACCTTTCGCGTCGCTTGACGATTGACGAAAGGCACATTCATGACGTTTAGATAACCTACGGGAGGAGAATACTTTCTACGGATGGAAGGAAGTGAAATTATTTAAGTGAACAAATTATTTACCTTGTTACTTTTAAGGAAAACTTTCAGCGCTCTAATTTTTTTTTTATTTATTTATTTTTTTTGTACTTAGCTTTCATTTTTACGTTTACGATGCTTTATGGAAAATATAAAGAAATTACAAAATAAGACTGTTAATAGTGAGATTAAATTTCATAAGAAAAAGGTATCTAATTAATTTAGGTACCTTTCTTATGAAATTTTATCAAAAGTGTAGATAAAACACTATAATTTTATGTACATTTATTACATTTTACTGTGTTATTTGTATTTCCATTCATTTTATTATTAATTTTGATATTTCATTTATGGAAAAATGTCATAACTGAGATTAATATAAAAATAAGATCATATAAATTAAAGTTTAGCAGTTGTTAAATTTCATAAGATGATACTGTTACTTGTAGGTACTCTTCTCAGTTGAAATTAAAAACTCAAATTAACTTCTCCATACGTGTTTCGCAAAAGTAAAGGGCTTAACAGCGGAGAACAATGCTGAACTCAAATAATGCAACTAAATTGTATTCTTATTGGTCTTCCGTACTTGATAATTACTGTCCGACTATAAACACAAAAAATTACATTTCTTAATTACCATGGCTAATCTGATTGGTCCAAATTATACAATTTTCAAAGCGCTAGACAATGACAATCTCATACGGACATTTTGAAAGGTTGATGTTGCTTTTAACTAATGTTAAAATATTTTTTAAAATTCAATTTAAACATTTTTTAAAAATCTTTTTAAAATTAAAGAAAAAAGGAAATAATTGTATTAAAAATTCAATTTTCATTGAAAAAATTTTTTGTTTTCAGAAAATATTGTCCATATTCATAAAAACAAATTAAAACAAATAAAAGCATTTGAAACTAAATAATATATTTGTTTTATTGAGTTTTGTATGTTACAATTCACAGCTGATTTTCAGGTACGTTGGCCAAAAAAAAAAAAAACATGATTTGCATTCTTCAAAGCCTTGTTCTTTTAACTATTGTAATCACTAAAACCGATGGTCTCGAATTTCTAGAGTTTTTCATAAAATTAGTTATGGGAGTGTTGATAAATATAAAAAACAATATTTCTTCCATGACTTTAATAAAAAAAAATATTTATAATAATTTCGATCATCTGTGAATAGTTTCTGAAAGTTTCATTAACATCTGACAATTATTTTATTTTTGCAAGATTTTCCAAATTAATGTGTAAATACAAAAAATGCGCTAAAAATTATCTATGTTATTTACTACCCCTTGTTGCGACAAAGAGAAACAAGGTTTTTTTAAATCAAAATTTAGAATATTCTAAAAGATGGAAAAATTTTAAAAATAATTAAAAAAATTTAGTCTATCCTCTTCATAAAAACAAGCATTTTGACGATAAAATTTTGTTTTCATAAACTTTGGCGTCTTTTTTTCATCAGACTATGCTCTATGTTTTTAGCGATTCCGTGGAGTGACTTAGGTTAAAAAACCCAGGTTGTTTATGCGTGTGTGTGTGTATGTGAGTGTGTTCCTTTATATATGGGATCGGATTTCTTATATTTTTCAGCCGATAAAACAAACATCCACTTTTTTTCGGCAGGTAGTATTTCTTATTGTCTTGCACACATTTTTTTCTTTATTTACATTCAGAATGCTTTAAAAATTCCATTTACAAGACAATTGTTTATAATAAAATTCTATTCACCAATCGATAGACTCATAACGATTGTAAACAATGTTTTTGTTTGAATTTGGATTTCACCAATTCGTAAAAACAAACAAAAAACTAATTAAGACATGCGTGTCTGTCAACCTTAAACAATAATCTTTGTCAATTTTATTTTTCAGTCTTTATGATGGTCGATACTTGATCTATCTCTTACTGTTGCATCCCCGGGTAACGCCGGGCTCTCTACTAGTATATATATATATATATATATATATATATATATATATATATATATATATATATATATATATACGCGCGCACACACACAGCTATCTATCTATCATCTATCTATCTCAGTCTGTCCGTATCTATCTATCTTAATCTTTTCGTATCTATATACCTATCTATCTCAGTTTCTTCATGTCTATCTGTCTGAGTTTGTTCATCTCTATCTATCTATCTATCTATCTATCTATCTATCTATCTATCTAAGTCTTTTCATATCTATCTATCTCAGTCTGTTCATTTCTGTCTGTCTAGCTAGCTTGCGGAGTCTGTCCCTATCTATCTATCTATCTCATTCTTTTCGTATCTATCTATATATCTATCTGTCTGAGTTTGTTCATGTCTAGCTATCTCCCCCCCCACCTTTTTATCTAACTAACTAATTTTGTTTATATATATATATCTATCTATCTATCTATCTATCTCACCCTGTTCATATCTATCTATCTATCAATTTATCTATCTTACTCTGTACATATGTTTGTAAATCTTTCCATATCTATCTCATTCTTTTCGTATTTATCTATATATCTATCTGAGTTTGTTCATATCTATCTATCTATCTCACCCTGTTCGTATCTATCTATTCATCTATCTATCTATCTATCTATCTATCTATCTATCTATCTATTCATATTTCACGCCGCTTACTGACAGTTCATTATAATGCATCACGCGAGGAGATTTTGTTCGTTTCATTTGGGTGACTTAATGCAGGCTTTCCTTATTTTTTTCCGAAACGTAACACACGAAGAAAAATGAATAGTTATTATTAATATATATATATATATATATATATATATATATATATATATATATATATATATATATATATATATATATATAAAAGTTGTTTGCCTAATTATGTATGAACACTCATCCATCAATTTCCACTGGAACAAAAGAATTTTTTTTTTTTTTTCGTGATTCTTCAATTCTTGCAATTTAACTTAGTTCCCATTTTCCCACAGCTTTCTACTTGACACTGTGTCAAGAAGACTTCACTCTTATTGTTGTTGTCATAAAGACTAAAAATGATTGCACGCTCTGTAAATCTCATTCTTCCTTCTTCTTCGTCTTCTTTTTCTTCTTCATTTTCTTCTTCTTTTTATTCTTCTTCTTCGTTTTCTTTTTTCTCCTTTTTCTTCTTCCTTTTCCTTTTTCTTCTTTTTCTACCTCTTTATTCTTCTTCTTCTTCCTCTTTATTCTTATTCTTCGTTTTTTCTTCTTTTTCTTCTTCTTGATCTTCTTTTTCTTATTTTTCTTCTTCATCTTCCTTTTTCTTCATCTTCGTCTTCTTTGTCTTCTTCTTTTTCTTCTTTTTCTTCGTCCTTTCTGTTTTTTCTTTTTCTTCCTTTTTATACTTTTTCTTTTCTTTTTCTTCATTTCTTTTTCTTCTTCCTTTTTCTTTTTCTTCTTCTATTTCTACCTCTTTATTCTTCTTCTTCTTCTTCCTCTTTATTCTTATTTTTCGTTTTTTCTTCTTTTTCTTCTTCTTGATCTTCTTTTCCTTATTTTTCTTCCTCGTCTTCCTTTTTCTTCTTACTCGTCTTCTTTTTCTTATTTTTTTCTTTTTTCTTCTTTTTTCTTCATCTTTTTTCTTCTTTTTTCTTCATCTTTTTTCTTCTTCCTTTTTTCTTTTTCTTCTTTTTCTTCCTCTTTATTCTTCTTTTCTTCTTCGTCTTCTTTTTCATCGTATTCATTTCTTCTTTTTCTTCTTCTTCGTCTCCTTTTTCGTATTTTTTCTTTTTTTCTTTTTTTCTTCTTTTCTTCTTTTCATTATTCTTCTACTTTTTCTTCTTCTTCTTCCTTTTCTTCTTCTTCTCAAAAAGGGATATATAAATATATATGAATACAGCAGTACAAAAAATGCTATTTTTATTAATTAATTACAAGCATTTCAAGCATTCCTATTGTAAATGATATCTTATTTAATGTCGGAACTTTATTTTGTGATACTAGCTTCCAAAGTGTTGCATCTTTCTATGAAACTGGTGCGATGAAGTATTTGCTGTTGTCAACTAATATCTGCCTTACGTCCCCAAATACATGACGTCATATTAGACCATTTCAAATATCCAGCGTCTGAACGAATACCAAGATGCAGACAAAGAAGTTACAACTACCAAACATCACGTCGGTTTTTGATAATGCCTCGAAAAGTATAATAAAAAAAATAGTCAGAGAGACCTTGTATATCCTATTTTATCAAATTTTTTTTTTATATATATATATATATATATATATATATTCTATTTTAAGTTTTATAGTTTGATAAAATATCCTATTTTATCAAATGTGTGTATGATATATATATATATATATATATATATATATATATATATATATATATATATATATATATCCTATACAAACACGTTTGATAAAATAGAATATATATCTCTGGGTGTGTCTTTAAAATATATATATATATAACGATACAGAATCCAAGAATGTTTTTTAACTAATTTGACAAACGTAACATGTTTGATTGTGTTATGGGATCTTACCCATAATAATAATGATAATGGACTATTCCATACTTAATAAATACTGCGCCTCAGGAGTAGGCAAGGAGGCAGTAGTCCAAGTCGATCTCGGTCGACCGACTGCTCGGTTGAACTCTCTTCCTACGGGCGGGAGGAACCCGAAGGAGGCTACGCCGAAGGGCGGGGTCTCCTTCGGGGAGGTGAAACCGGCCCTGAGCCCGTTTATGCGGGTTCAAATGGGCGGGCTATTTTTGGCCGAGCCTAATGGCTTGGGAATTGCCCACGTTAAAAAGGCCTTGTGCCACATGACACCCTCGTGGGGGGGGGTGACTGAATATCGGCAGTAGTTCAAGTCGAAGTCAGAGGCAGAAACAGAGTCGCGTTCAGACAATTACTGCAAGAGATTGGAATAGTGATACTGGTCGAGACTACATTTTTCTTTCTACTAAACCTGATTGTTCATACTAACACTTTCTACCTCTCTGTATATATTCTTGTTTGTAATATATCTGTGTTATTCCATATCCGTGTTTGAGTTTTTCTTTATTGGTTCTACCTTGGACTATCACCGTGGTACAAGGAACCGGACCATAACAGATTGAAACTAGATTTAATTACGCGTTTCGCCTTTCTAGGCTTCATCAGATCCAAAAAATGAAAGAAAGAAATGTGCGTGTATTTGTGTGTATGCTTAAATAATGGATCATTAGTACTTTTTCCCTAAGCTGGTGTTTCTCGTGATTAAAGTAGAAAGGAAATGAGTGACATTTTAAAAACGCTGTTAATATTCATCCTCTATCTTTTCTTTATAATTCTCAAATATATATATATATATGTGTGTGTGTGTGTGTGTGTGTATCTCTGTGTGTGTGGTTGTGTGTGTGTATCTGATTGAAATATTTTAAGGACGTCGATAATCATTCATAATTTATTTATCAGGTCTACAAGAATCCTCAACAGAATGCAGAAAGCTTGGTAAAAGAAGACGTTGCTCTTAGGGTCCTATCCATTGAGTTATGTATTCTTGAAGGCGTATCACCACCAGAATTTAGTGTAGTTAGTTTCTTCCTCTTCACCGTTGGTCTAGTGGTATGACGCTTGTATCGTAACGGTCCGGGTTCGATTCTCGTTAGTGAATGCGCAATGCTGATGAGTCCTAAATAGGACGAAACGGCCGTACAGTGCTTTCTGCATTCTGTTCAGAATTCTTCTAGACTCGATGAATTGCTATAAATAATTATTCAAATCCACCTCACCCCAGTTCTCTCTCATGTATATCCTTGTTTAACCCAGCTTCTAATGCTCTGGAGGAAAAGGTTTGGGGAATGAAGACGTGGCTCTTGGGGTCCTATTACATATACTTGGATGATTATCCCCACGGAATTTAGTGAGTAGCGGTTCTATATCGAGTCTGGTCAGTTTCGTCACCGTTGGTCCAGTGTTATGACACTTGTATCGTAACGGTCCCGGTTCGATTCTCGGTAATGGATGCGCACTGCTGAAGAGTCCCAAAAAGGACGAAACGGCTGTACAGTGCTTTCTGCATTCTGTTGAGGATTCGCATCTTATAGTCTGGCTAAACTATGTCTAATCCTATGTGTGTCGAAATATCACTTTGCGCCACTTTGCTTTAACGATAGACGTACATTAGGACAATCTACTCCGCTATTCGAAATGATGTATAAATTTTCAAGCCATTTCTTGCCCCTGTTAACAACTGATTAAAGGTTATTTTACTTTATCGAATCTATCGAACTTAGAGTTTTTCATTGCACATCTTTTATTACTCTCCCTCCTTAATAATGTTTCTCTTTGTTCTTATTCTTTCACGCTCAGTATCTCTGTGTCTTAATGGCTTTACTGCCTTGCTTGGAGTGAAGTGATTATATAAGGTATATGAGAATAGGAAACAAGTTTCAAGCAAAGAAAAGATCTGGGAGGGAATAAAATTTCATTTTAATGTTGAAACAAAAGAAAAGTTAACAAGATCAATTATTGAAAAACTAGTGAAAGTTAAATAATGTCAAGGAGTCTTCATTGACATGTGAAATTATAATTTATTTAGATATATGACGGATTGCGCTCACCAAATATATGTTTTTTTATGTGTTATATCTTTGGGATTTATATAAACCAAAATTTATGTTGTAATCGGTGGGCCATCATTAAAATAACTGTTTATGAAAATGGTAAGCAATTTGCCCTCACAGACGACCTCTGGAATAAAAAAAAAACTGTAAAGAATATTGAAATCGAAGCAACATCGAAGATTGAAAGATTTATGAAGGTTATAGAATGTCAAAACAGACGACATTAACAGCGACAAACGTTAAGCTAAACAATACACGCATGAGTGAAAATTCTTTCACATTCTGCAACGCTGATTCTTGTCCCCTTTGCTTTGCTCTGGTTTATTTTGTTTTACGGCATATCAACACCTTAATGGGTTATTTAATGTCAACAAGATTTTTTGGATAGATTTGTATGAATAGAATATGTATTCTTGATAAGAAATCAATTTTTGATCAGGTTTCATTGACGTATTTTTGTAAAGATGTCTTTTGTCAAGAGTTAAATGTTTCATCGGAGGAAAAGTTTTTAGAATTTAGAATAAGTATTTAGAGGAAAGATTTTTAGAACAGATTCGTATGAATAAAATATGTATTCTTTGTAAGAAATCAGTTTGTAGATCAGTTTTCATAGACGTATTTTTGTAAAGCGGATGTTTGTCGAGAGTCTGGCTTCATTGATGTATTCTTTCAGATATACAGTTTGTAGAGGAGTAGTCTGCTTTGGTTTGTTTTGTTTTACGGTACATCAACCTCAATGTGTTATTTAATGTCGACAAGATTTTTAGGATAGGTTCGTATGAAGAGAATATGTATTCTTGCTAAGAAATCAGTCCCTTTGTTTTGCAAAAAATCAAAAACAAAAATGTTTCAAATGCACCAAATAGGCGAAACGTCTCCAAGCCTCTCCAGATATTAATCCAATAGAAAAAATATTTATTATTAAAAGTGGTGTATATGAGAATAAAAAATGATTTACAAGCAAAGTTCTTTGGATTAAAGTAAAATTTACTGCAAGTAATGTCAAAGCTGAAACAATAGAAAAGTTAACAAAATCAATGGTTGAAAGACTAATGAATGCTATAGAATGTCAAAGAGCCTATACTGACATATGAAATAATTATTGATTCAGGTAGTGATTTTCCAAGCATAGCTTAGATGTGGCACAAGGCCGAAAGTATGGGGCACCCAGTGAGGACCGAACTCACGACTCAGTTGTAATTGTTCTAGCGAGACAAGCTTGCTAACCATTACACAGCCCTCGAGGTGTCCAATTATTGGTTCAGGTATATCGTATATTTTGTTCATCAAGTATATGTTTCTATATATATTTTTATATACATAAAAAAAATATTTTGCAGCGGATGGGCCATCATTGAAAGATGTAATTGGTAAATAATACGCGAGAAAGGTTTGGTTTATTTTGTTTTACGGCATATCGACATCTCAATGGGTTATTTAATGTTGACAAGATTTTTAGGATAGGTTTATATGAACAGAATATGTATTCTTGCTAAGAAATCAGTTTGTAGATCAGGTTTCATTGGAGTATTTTTGTAAAGAGAGTTTTTGTCGAGAGTCTGGTTTCATTGATGTATTATTTCAGATATATAGTTTGTAGAGAAGTGGTTTGGTTTGGTTTGGTTTGTTTTACGGCATATCAACCTCAGTGGGTTTTTTAATGCCGACAATTTTTATTGCTGGTAATATTTTTTTAAATGTATTTCTGCCAATACTTTTTTTTCAAAAATGTATCGCTTGTAAAAATTTTTAAATGTATAGCTAGTAATTTTTTCTTTTCAAAAAGGTAAAAGGTATTTCAAAAAAAAAATTGCTGGTAATATTTTTTTACAGAGTATTTCTGGTATTAAAACTTATTTTTACACTTTCATTGTTTTGGCACAGGTTTGGGGGTTAACTATTTGCCCATAGCTGGTATTTTAACAAGTGATACCACCCCGTGTCAGGATGGACCTGGAAACTCCAGTAATTAAGAGGTGGTTCCACGCTCCTCAAAACCTCCTGATCAAAGGCCTTGCTGCTGAACATAGTTTATCGTCATACCCAGGACGGCTGCGAGAAAGGATAACCTCTGAAAAAGCTTCAAGTAATATTATAATCGAAACAGTAAAAAAGTTAACAAAATCAAGGACTCAAAGACTGATGAAGGTTCTAGAACGTCAACACGCGTATATTTTATACAAATAAATAATTGATTCAAATATATGGAATATTGCGCTAATTAAATATAAATTTCTTTGATGTGTATCTTTTGAATTTATTTATGAATAAAA